CGTGGCCACCTGTAGTGGCTTTTCGTTGTTTCTGGAGTAGCCCCGAGGGTAGGTATTCAATCTCCTGGCTCCGCCAATTGGGGTTTGGCCAGGAGACATCATAGACGCCTGGCCCCCCGGGGCCTCCGGCACAAGCTTTTTAGTTACATATTTCAGTTTAACTCGTGGTTTCGTGGTAATTAATTGAAGGTGGAGGGGTTACCAGCCCCTCGCACCCGTCAAGAGCCACCGTTTAGCCCCTGTGGTGGACACATATGCCATGAGGGGAGGAGCCAATCAAAATTGGATCTCCCCCCACAGCACTGTCCACGACAGAGTTGCCCGTCCGGCACCGCGAGGAGGTAGGAGGTTGTTTTGCCGGACACACATACACACACACACATACATACACACATACAACAACAACCGCCATTCGCCACTAAGTGGCGGTGACGTCACCACGACGCTTGTGCCAGGCTATGTGCACCCTGAGGCCACGTGAAGTGTCGAACGCCCGCTGGCAGGAGGTCACGGGGCAGACCCAGGTGTCACGGGTCGACTGACTGAGATGACTGAGATGGCTGGCTGATGAGCGTGAAGTCGCGATTGAGTAATGGGGGCTAACGAATGAGTAATTAGTAATACACGTTGCATTAAGAGATTGTTGAAGTTCAATGTTCTAATACGTGTTTAATCTAAATTACTTTTTGAATGTCATTAATTTTGTTGTATTATTTAATAAGACTAATTAAAATAGCTCAGAGGTTATTTGATTTCCACTCGTTCTATCAATTCCCCCAGACCCGCTGCCCTTCTAAGGGCCGGGACCGAGCGGGCCAGTGGTCGAGACCCTGGGAGCCCCCGGGTCCCGACGTCCTTGTAAGGGCCGGAACCGAGCGGGCCAGTGGTCGAGACCCTGGGAGCCCCCGGGTCCTGACGTCCTTGTAAGGGCCGGGACCGAGCGGGACAGTGGTCGAGACTCGTACCTTGGCTGGGTCGGGTCAGTGTAGCCTCCCCTAGGTCACGGTTAGCCGGAGGCGAGAGAGCCCGTGGTCCCAGTGATAGGCCACGCTTGTCCGGGGGCCGTACCACCCCCAGGTAGCGGGTTAAGGGGCCGTTACCCCTTTGTGTTAGGGACCGTTACTATTGCTGTTACCGTTGTCGTTAAATCAACGCGTTGCCTCTACACGCCGTCTCCAATCTCCTTGCACCCACTACACGTGCAGCGTTTGTTTCACGTCTCGTGCGGTCACTGTGGTAAGAAACTTGCTTGGCTTTGATTCCCAGACAATTCGTAATGGTAAATAAATTTAATAATAATAGAATACGACGTTTCGATTGCAACACAAGCGACCATCATCAGGTACAAATGAATGAGAACAAACATAGTAAACTTGGAAATATAATGCAATATAACACAGAGTCGGCCAACAAAACAATCAACGCCCCACCTAGTGGATTACGTTCTTCCAAAGATTGATAAATTTGAGAGAGACAAAACATAGACACGGGGACACACAAGCAGAGAGAGAGAGAGAGACAACACAGAAACACACAGAGACACACAACATAGACACACAGACAGACACACAAGCAGAGAGAGACTCACACAGATACACAGAGAGAGACACACACAACATAGACACACAGACAGACACACAAGCAGAGAGAGAGACTCACACAGAGACAAACAGAGAGACACACACAACAAAGACACACAGACACACAAGCATAGAGAGACTCACACAGAGACAGAGAGAGACACACAACATAGACACACAGACAGACACACAGAGAGAGACAACACAGAGACACACAGAGAGTGACACACAGCATAGACACACAGACACAAGCAGAGAGAGACTCACACAGAGACAAACAGAGAGAGACACACACAACATAGACACACAGACAGACACACAAGCAGAGAGATACTCACAAAGAGACACACAGAGAGTAACACAACATAGACAGACACACACAGAGAGAGACTCACACAGAGACGCACAGAGAGTGACACACAACATAGACACACAGACAGGCACACAAGCAGAGAGAGACTCACACAGAGACACACAACATAGACACACAGACAGACACACAGGCAGAGAGAGACAACAGAGACAAACAGAGAGAGACACACAACATAGACACACAGACAGACACACAAGCAGAGAGAGACTCACACAGAGACACACAGAGAGTGACACACAACATAGACACAGAGACAGACACACAGAGAGAGAGACTCACACAGAGACAAACAGAGAGAGAGACAACCAAGAGCTTTAATAGCTCTTAAAACCCCTCCCACCGCTCCTGCAGTCTAAACACAACAAGACTCCCAAGTCCTCTGGTGACATCAAAAATTATTTAATAACGAGACGATCAAACGAGCCACAGAGCGAAGCCTCGGCCCTACGCGTTGGGCCTTGCGTGGCCCATTAATGGGCACTCGACTCGAATGTGCGGACGTTTCACTGACTGAACGCAACATTGAAAGCAGCATTGAGAATCTTCACTTGAAGCTTTCGTGGCAACTGCAGGGATCCACGCTCTCAAAGTCATCACGTGGTAGATGTATAAAATACATCACCACGTTTCCATCGCGACACAAGCGACCGTCATCAGGCGGAACAGGTACAGTTCAACTGATGGGGGGGTCGCTTGTGTTGCGACAGAAACGTCGTGATTTATTTTATTTTGTCCCCACGTCGCTCGACCGAAAGAACCTTGAAGAATGTTCTTGGTTCTTTCGGTAAAGTCACCACGTAGAAGGGAAACAATAAAATAATAAAAATATAAAACAATAAAAATTCTCACGACGTTTCGACTGCGACACAAGAAGCAATCATCATCAGGTGTGAAAACCACAGCAAGAAAATTTTAAAAAAGTGGAGTTTTTTTTTACGTTAGCACCACGGAGAGCGATTTGGCAGTTGTTCAGATGGACGAGTCCATCTATGTCCGGAAAAGAGGAGGGGGGAGAGGAAGAGAATGGAATGCGGTCTGAACAACTGCCAAATCGCTCTCCGTGGTGCTAACGTTAAAAAATAACCGCCACTTTTTTCAAATTGTCTTGCTGTGCTTTCCACACCTGATGATGATTGCTTCTTGTGTTGCAGTCGAAACTTCGTGAGAATTTTATTGTTTTATATTTTTATTACGTGGTGGTGACTTTACCGAAAGAACCAAGAATATGAATCCCTGCAGTCACGAAAGCTTTAAATCAAAACCTTGAAAGATGTTTTACAACGTCCGTGTTTTAAACGCGCAAAATAATCACGTTTCCCCAATTTTACACATTCTCAGGAAGCTGTGCGTATATATTTAGTTTACACCACGCGCGACGATGTTCAACGCAGCAGCCGTTTAAAAACTCTGGGTTAAGAGCGGCAAAGCCGGAAACTCGGTGCAGGCGGACGCTGCTGCTGGAGGTGTGCGAACGAGCGAGCGTCGCAGCCCAGGACGGATTCCACCTTTTCAACATTTCCGAGCGGTGATTTCTAAATTTGCCCGCGGCCAATCTCCCGAGGCAGGAGCTGCTCCGGCGTTCTCTTCGCCAAGTGCCGAGTCCAACACAAACCCCCGTGGGACGAGGCGCGCCGAGGGGCCCTAATCCAGCAGCGGGTTAACGAGTCCCCGAAAATTATCTCTCACGCGACCGATGGAAAAAAAAAACCTGGCAACTTTTAGAAACAAAAGCGGCGAGGAACACACAAAGCCATCCACACACAGCCTAAAGATTCCCCAACCACTGCCGTGTAGCCTTAACAGACTGTTGGGGCAAGTGCTGTTAGCGAGTAGCAGCAGCTATGAAGATCCCCCCCCCGTGTAGCCTTAACAGACTGTAGGGGCAAGTGCTGTTAGCGAGTGGCAGCAGCTATGAAGATCCCCCCCCCCCGTGTAGCCTTAACAGACTGTTGGAGCAAGTGCTGTTAGCGAGTAGCAGCAGCTATGAAGGCTACCGGCACTGTGGCACACGAGGGTGGGTGGTCAACACCACGCACAGCCGCCTTTGTCTCCCCAGTGGCGATGTCTTTACATATCGCAGCGGATACTCATTCGAGGCCAAGTCGACCTAGGGGAGGCCCAGGACCGGTTGTTCAGATAATCGCAATCACTGTGGCGTTGGCCGTGAGCGGGAATGGAACTCGGCTGATCGCCGGCGTTGGTAGCGCTGACCGCTCCACCAACCCCCCACCGCTCCCCACCACCAACAAAGAGCGACCAACGTGGAACGCGACAATTACATTTTTGATGACATCACCATTGCAATAAGTGCTCCATGGGGCTATTATTGCACACGCTGTGTATGAACTTACTCTCTGTTGTTGTTGTATCATCAAATATAGTAACTCAATCTTAATCCACTTACCAATGTGGTATACTTATGTCATAATGATGGCAACACTGTATTCTAGCGTAAAAAAACATATTTTGCAACAATCTTTTTTTTAACACTTTATGTTTCGTCTTGGGTGTAATTGTCCACGCTCAACTGACGTCGTTGGCTGTAAATCGCCACGGTCCCCTTACGTCGTGGCCAAGCCTCGGGGCCACTTCCTGGAGTCGTGGAGTTATTCCGTTACCAGTAGGGTACATTTAATTAAAGAGTGTTTAAAAAAAAGTATTTTAAAATATTACTTATTAATGTAATAACTCACAAACGTAAAACATGTTTACGCACGTGAACTCTGCGTAACATTCCAGTTCCAGTAAAGATTTACAGAACGTAACTTCTTCACTTCAAGTCTAGCACCAAACGCCTTGAAATCACAGCAATCTTTGACCCTTCCACCCATTGACAATAAGCGCTCCACAGAGTTCTAAATGTAATAACTCCCAAATGTAGAAACTGTTAACGCGTGTAAACTTTGCGTACCATCCGGTTAAAGTAAAGATTACAGAAGAGTCTTAAAACTTCACATCCTTCACTTTCCAAGTCTGACATCGTACGCCTTCAAAACCACCACACTGATAATTATTAATGAACCCTTTCACATTCCGGAAACCCCCCAAAAAAAAGGCTGCTCTATGGGTGGAGGCCGGTGGCCAAGTGAAATTGCCCTCCCCGTGCCTCCCGGCGCGGAAAAAACGAACGCCGAACGCTCGCCAGCGACCGGCTTATGCCTCGGCACGGGAGAGGGGAGGGGTGAATCAACGAACTCGCCCCAACGGTCGAAGCCACGGGCGGTCGGGATCCCCGGCGGTCGTTTCTCTCTCCTCCTCCTTCGCCCGGCCGTCCGCCTAAACCATGAAGGCCCGGAGCGACGTCTGCACGGCGACGCGGCACACGGGACACCGGCTCAGGGAGAGGGCGCAGTGGCCGCACGTGGCCACGTGTCCGCACGGCACGAACATCGTGGACACCTCGCGCTCCATGCACACCTTGCAGGACAGCCGCTCTTCCAGCTTGTCCAGAAGCTCTTCAGTCGATGGCGCTGCTGTGGACGAAGCGCGCGCAGACGCACGCGGAGACACACACGGAGACACACAGAGACACACAGACACACAGAGACACACAGAGACACACAGAGACGCACAGAGACACACAGAGACACACAGAGATGCACAGAGACACACAGAGACGCACAGAGACACACAGAGACACACGTGCGCACGCACAGACGCAAGCGCACACACACACAGACGCACACACAGAGACACACCCGCACACACTTTCAGCGGTTTCAAAAAGTGATGGTCGATCATCACCAGACTGCTTACATATGGGGCGCAAAGTTGGCGAGATGTTGACCACCTCGTCTGGTATACATGAGGTCGTGACTCTCACCTGTATCAGACTCTCACCTGGCTCAGACTCTCACCTGTATCAGTCTCTCACCTGTATCAGTCTCTCACCTGTATCAGACCCTCACCTGTATCAGACCCTCACCTGTATCAGACTCTCACCTGTATCAGACTCTCACCTGTATCAGTCTCTCACCTGTATCAGACCCTCACCTGTATCAGACTCTCACCTGTATCAGACCCTCACCTGTAACAGACCCTCACCTGTATCAGGTGAGGGTCTGATACAGTGCGCAGGGATCCGTCGTCTTACCGTGCTCAATCTCCGCGGTTGTACTCTGCGGCGTCTGTCCCGGTAGCGGAGCCTTTGAACCGACAAATAAAGATGAACATCGTCGCGTGTAAGAATCATCGCCGGTGTCACGCAGAAGAACCGAAAAAAATGGATAAGTTACGCAAGCGACGACCGCTCGCGTTGAAAACGATCGCGACTTTTTGCACCGTCACTCTGCGCTCGATTTGCAATCGGCGTGTCGGCAAACCAAACGGAACGACAAGAGCCGGCTCTCGATTGTCGCCGCTAACGACGGGGGGCAGGGCAGCTGCAGACGGCTCAAAATCGCGCAGCATCCAAAAAGATAAAATAAAAAAAATTTCCGTGGATCTCTACGCCAAAAACACCGATTATCCCCATAGTTATATATATAGTTATATAGTACATTCAATCTGGCTGTTGCCTGATGAAGCTCGTTGTTGTTGTAATTACTGGTGAAACGTCGTACTCAGATTCTAAATGTTGTGGCTTGGCTCTCCAACACACCGGTGTGAGCTGTACTAGTATTATACACTATACACTACTATACTATTATACACTACTATACTATACACTACACTATACACTACACTACTACACTATACACTACTATACACTATACACTACTACACTATTATACACTACTATACTATACACTACTACACTATGCATTATTACACTATACACTACTACACTATACACTATTATACACTATACACTACTATACTATACACAACTATACTATACACTACACTACTATACACTACTACACTATGCACTACTACACTATACACTACTATACTATACACACTACTATATTTACAATAAGCATATTGGTAATAAAACCACATTATTTTTGTATTTTTACCCCTGAATGATGAACAACATTTCAAGCTGCCTGCGAAGTTTAAGTTTGAGTCTATTTGTGTTCAAGACCGCTGATAAACTCCATCAAGAGACGAGGCTGGTCTCGTCTGTTCAACGACCGGAGTTGACCAAGGTCAACGTTAAAAAACTAAACAAAAAATCGTACGTGCGGCGTGTTCGCACGCCGGCGTTAAACTCGATTCTCCTGCGAAACCAAAAGTTGGCGAGAAAATGTTTTGTTACCGGCGGCCGCGTCGACCCGCGGACGAAAGCTTCCCCCTTCTGTCGTCCAACAAACACGCAGCTGTTCAGCAAACGACGCGGGAAGAGAGGCGGGGGGAGGGGGGTCATTATTTTACGCCGGCTGGGTACAATGTGGTGGATGTATTGGGGAGCACGTCACCATTATTATTATTTATATTATGATCTTATAGTGAGATGGTTGTATTGGGGAACACATTATATCTATTATTTTATCGCGTTTATTATGATTTTGTTATTATCTTATAATGCGTTGGATGTATCAGGGAACACATCATTATTATATAATGCGATGGATGTGTTGGGGAACACATAATTATTTAATATTTACAGTGAGGGAAAAAAGTATTTGATCCCCTGCTGATTTTGTACGTTTGCCCACTGACAAAGAAATTATCAGTCTATAATTTTAATGGTAGGTTTATTTGAACAGTGAGAGACAGAATAACAACAACAAATCCAGAAAAACGCATGTCAAAAATGTTATGAATTGATTTGCATTTTAATGAGGGAAATAAGTATTTGACCCCTCTGCAAAACATGACTTAGTACTTGGTGGCAAAACCCTTGTTGGCAATCACAGAGGTCAGACGTTTCTTGTAGTTGGCCACCAGGTTTGCACACATCTCAGGAGGGATTTTGTCCCACTCCTCTTTGCAGATCTTCTCCAAGTCATTAAGGTTTCGAGGATGACGTTTGGCAACTCGAACCTTCAGCTCCCTCCACAGATTTTCCATGGGATTAAGGTCTGGAGACTGGCTAGGCCGCTCCAGGTCCTTAATGTGCTTCTTCTTGAGCCACTCCTTTGTTGCCTTGACCGTGTGTTTTGGGTCATTGTCATGCTGGAATACCCATCCACGACCCATTTTCAATGCCCTGGCTGAGGGAAGGAGGTTCTCACCCAAGATTTGACGGTGCATGGCCCCGTCCATCGTCCCTTTGATGCGGTGAAGTTGTCCTGTCCCCTTAGCAGAAAAACACCCCCAAAGCATAATGTTTCCACCTCCATGTTTGACGGTGGGGATGGTGTTCTTGGGGTCATAGGCAGCATTCCTCCTCCTCCAAACACGGCGAGTTGAGTTGATGCCAAAGAGCTCCATTTTGGTCTCATCTGACCACAACACTTTCACCCAGTTGTCCTCTGAATCATTCAGATGTTCATTGGCAAACTTCAGACGGGCATGTATATGTGCTTTCTTGAGCAGGGGGACCTTGTGGGCACTGCAGGATTTCAGTCCTTCACGAGGTAGTGTGTTACCAATTGTTTTCTTGGTGACTATGGTCCCAGCTGCCTTGAGATCATTGACAAGATCCTCCCGTGTAGTTCTGGGCTGATTCCTCACCGTTCTCATGATCATTGCAACTCCACGAGGTGAGATCTTGCATGGAGACCCATGCCGAGGGAGATTGACAGTTTTTTTGTGTTTCTTCCATTTGCGAATAATCGCACCAACTGTTGTCACCTTCTGACCAAGCTGCTTTGCAATGGTCTTGTAGCCCATTACAGCCTTGTGTAGGTCTACAATCTTGTCCCTGACATCCTTGGAGAGCTCTTTGGTCTTGGCCATGGTGGAGAGTTTGGAATTTGATTGATTGCTTCTGTGCACAGGTGTCTTTTATAGGTAACGAGCTGAGATTAGGAGCACACAGAGTGTGAGATTAGGAGCTGAGATTAGGAGCACACAGAGTGTGCTCCTAATCTCAGCTCCTAATCTCAGCTTGTTACCTGTATAAAAGACACCTGGGAGCCAGAAAACTTTCTGATTGAGAGGGGGTCAAATACTTTTTTCCCTCATTAAAATGCAAATCAATTTATAACATTTTTGACATGCGTTTTTCTGGATTTTGTTGTTGTTATTCTGTCTCTCACTGTTCAAATAAACCTACCATTAAAATTATAGACTGATAATTTCTTTGTCAGTGGGCAAACGTACAAAATCAGCAGGGGATCAAATACTTTTTTCCCTTACTGTATATATATAAATTTCACGGGCGCAGCAGGTGCCAAACGCCTCACCTGGGAAACCACTTTGCGTGCTCATGCCAAGCGCTGTCTCCCAGCGCCCACTCTTGTAGATGACCGTCGCAGCTGAAGCACTTCACAAGATCTCCGTAACCTACTCAAAATAGAAAACACGTTACAGGGACCTCTCCCCTACTTATCGACACTGTCGACTTTTCAGAGATAAACAAACCCATCCAGTTGCCCGTTCGGACCGAGAGTCCTAAGTTCAACCGCCTCACAATAGTTGGAGGTGGTGGCATCAACATCTGCAGAACGTGAAAAACCAGTGGCATTTACATCTACAGAACGTGAAGAACCAGTGGCATTTACAGCTACAGAATGTGAAGAACCCAGTGGCATCAACATCTGCAGAACGTGAAGAACCAGCGTCATCTACATCTACAGAATGTGAAGAACCAGTTGCATCTACATCTACAGAATACGAAAAACCAGTGGCATCTACATCTACAGAACGTGAAGAACCAGCGTCATCTACATCTACAGAACGTGAAAAACCAGTGGCATCTACATCTACAGAACGTGACGAACCAGTGGCATCTACATCTACAGAACGTGACGAACCAGTGGCATCTACATCTACAGAACGTGAAGAACCAGTGGCATCTACATCTACAGAACGTGACGAACCAGTGGCATCTAAATCTTCAGGAGATTATACAACTTGTAAAGGCATTCCCCGTGTTTCGTGTACACACTCTACAACACGTTTGGAACCGACAGGACTTCGCACTCCTATCGTGTTTTTGTAAACCGTTCGTTGCCGTGACGTTCTTACCCCCCGTGCCCGGACTGGACATCATGCGAAAAAGAGCTTCACAGCTCAATGGATTCCTCCAGTATAGATAAATATTCTGATTCTGACCTCCCTCAGGTGTTTGACCAAAACTATTAACCAACATTGATACTATTTTATGATACCAGGTGTTAGGACCATTGAGTTGCTATTTAGCTCTTTTTCAGAGGTGACCACCTGGCTATCACAAACGATAGCTCAACGAAGTGGCTTATCGCATGAGAATTTAAATGCAGCCAAATACTCTAAACGCGTGTTTCTAAATGTGCAAGGAAAAAACCGGAGGACCGGCAGAAAAAATCCACGCGACCACGGGGAGAGAGGCACGAAAATTCCAAATACACATCAGGCGTCAGGATGGAACCCATCACCTCCTGCCTTCCAGGCGAGGTAGCCAACATCTCCGAGCCACCGTGGCGCTTGCCCCCAAAGAGCCGCCCCTCCCCCCACAAAACGGGGACGACTACAGCGCCGGGGAAGGCCTCCACCCACTTCTACGCAGCGGCAGCAGCAGCACAAACCGTACCGGAATAGTAGAAGCCTGCGTAGGCCAGTTCAGGCGGGGACACATTGGCGGTGTACGGCCAGCTCGCGAAAGATCTGAGTCGCGCCCCGAACGAACGCATCTCTGGACTCAGTCCGGAGTCGGCGCCATCCTGAGTGGCCGGCGGCAACGGGGCCTGCGGGGAAAAGGCGCCACCCAGGGACAAACGCAACGACGACAACGGTGACGACGATGACGACTGCGACGGCAGCGTCGACGGCGACGACGGTGACGCAGTGAGCTCATCGAATTGTCCCCGCCCTTTGGAAAGGCTCCCCAGGAAGCCGTGAGGGCATTGGAATCGTTTTTTTTTAAACGACATCTTCGAAACAAAACCTTTTTAGACTGGCCTAAAAAGGTTAAGTCATTTACATGACTTAATACGATTACATCTCCATAACTAGCATAACTTATGCGCATAATTACATCAATTAACGTTATTTCGGATAATTACGCATTTTTCCAAATTTCATTTCATTTTTATTATTTTTATTAAAATTTTCAAGACCCGGCATATACAACAGGTGGGGGAATTTATAGAGAAGATAACATTACAGTAGAATCTTGATTTGAATTACAGTACACTCTGGATGATCCGCGCGCGGTTTGTTCGATTTGCAGATGAACCGCACACCTGAGATTTTGACAGAGATTAAGAACTCGTGGATATTCCCCTGAAGTCCACCTGAAGATGACCGTTTGAGTTATGGTCGAAACGTCGTGAGAATTTTTATTGTTTTATATATATTATTTTGTTGTTTCTCTTCAACGTGACTTTACCGAAAAAACTAAGAATATAATCTAAAAACAGTTTATACAACAATGGTTAATTCTTGGGCATTTTTATTACAAGTCACGTGGCGCTTTAACCGAACAAATACGTTGCCCCGGTTAATCCGAAATCCACGTGACCGCCTCTACGGCAGCTGCAACGTCTTTACAACGGTGGGCAGAGTTTAATTGATTTTGTTGCCGTGGCTCTGCTGTCAAATGAGCGAGCCGACTCTTCAGCGCGGGGAGCGGGAAAGTCTCATCATTGAACATGGTTATAGGCACAAAGCATTGAAGAACTGAGACTCATCTACAAGGGCGCAGCGGTAGCCAGGAGATGTGAACGACCTCGCCTGGTATGCAGGAGGTCATGGGCTCGAAACCCGACCCTGACACCTGCTTCTGCCTATTTGGAGTTTCCGTGTCTCTCTCTCTCTCTCTGTTCCCCCCGTGGTCACCACGTGCGAGGGTATTCGGCAAATATAAATGTCCACGCAACGATGCTGAGCCCGCTTCGCTGAGCAACGTCGCTGCTTTGCGTGACGGAGAGGGTCGGCATCTGAAACAAATAGCTACGTCATCGCAGCGCTGAGTAGGGCCCTCGCCAGGTCAAGAATAACTGTGTTAGCACAGGGTGCTTACAAAGAAATGTTCACACTTGTTTTTGGACTATCGTTTTTTAATATAACACGAATCTGACCGCGAATGCGCGTCATTGGATTCAACGAGCCAAAGGGTCTCCGCTCGTTCGCCATCGTCGTCTAAACACGCCTAGAATTATCTCCAATCGGTACCCAGAACCCCGAGGCACATCTCTTCGTGCCAATCGTTGCAAATTCTCAGCGGCACCCCGCACTAGTTTTAGGAAAGACCCGGCCTCGCCCCCCCAAAACAAGCGTCAGGACGTCACCGGCGCCGTCGCTGGCGTCACCCACCGCGCGAGCGCAGGCGGGGAAGTGCCTGGCGTGCTCCCGAGCGGGGTCGTCCCCCTCCTCCCAGCGATGCATCATCCCGCCGCAGCGGAAGCAGGCCACCAGGTCGCTGAAGCCCATGCGGTAGAGTCCGGCCCGCGCCAAGTCCGCGGGCCGCACGGGGGACGACCGGGGCCACCCCTTGGAGAACGACAGCAGCCTGGCCGATTCGCTCAGCATCTTCGAGGCCGACGGTCGCGGGATCCGGTCGAAGCGGGGCATCGGGGGGGCAGAGCGTCTCGCCGCCGCCGACGCCCTGCGGGAGGCCCGAAAGTCTACGACGTTCGGCATCGACCCGGCGGAAAAATACGGGGCGATTTGGGGTGAAAAGAATGCTTTTGCGAGGGACGAGTCCGCCCGGGGGTCTCTTGTTAAAGATCGCTCAAGAAACGTCGAGGCCTTCTCCTCCTTTCAAGGCGTCGAAGAGATCCCGGGGCTCGTAGCTCAACGGGTAGTTTAAAAACCGGCGATGGGAAATGGCACGACCCCTGTTGTCACCCTCGACGGCTCCTGAATGCGGGAACAAAAATGTTGGGGCGGCAAGCGTCATTAAAAATGGACATCTTTTAGTGATATTCTTAGCTCTTTCGGTAAAGTCACGTTGAAGGCAAACAATAAAATAATAAAATACATATAAAACAATAAAAATTCTCACGACGTTTCGACCATAACACAAACGGTCGTTATGTTATGGTCGAAACGTCGTGAGAATTTTTATTGTTTTGTATATATATTATTATTTTATTGTTTCCCTTCAACGTGACTTTGCCGAAAGAGCTAAGAATATGAATTACTGCAGTCACGAAAGCTTTAAATCAAAATAAAATATTTAAGTGACTTGAAATGTTTGGTTTAAACAATTCATCCATACACAAAGGCTTTTTGTGGGTTAGATTGCGTAAATATATTAATGTTAAACCCGCCACGACCCGACACGGCCAACTGGTAAGGGTTGTCACGTAAACAGAACAATCTCTATTATGGATGATATTGGTCGCCAAAGCCTACGTGTTAAGAATTAAACAGTTCAGTCTGTCACTTCTGACAAACTCATGCACAGCAATAAAAGGGGGCACACACAGTCTGGATGGTCCTGTACCAAACGGAGTTTCGAGAGTTATCTGGTGTGAGAAAAACCAACACTACCCATAGACTCAGCACTGCACCATAGACTCAACACTACCCAAAGACTCAACACTAACCATAGACTCAACACTGCCCATAGACTCAACACTGCCCATAGACTCAACACTACCCATTGACTCAACACTACACCATAGACTCAGCACTGCACCATAGACTCAACACTGCACTATAGACTCAACACTGCACCATAGACTCAACACTACCCAAAGACTCAACACTACACCATAGACTCAACACTACCCATAGACTCAACACTGTACCATGGACTCAGCACTGCACCATAGACTCAACACTGCACCATAGACTCAACACTGCCCATAGACTCAGCACTGCACCATAGATTCAACACTGCATCATAGACTCAGCACTGTACCATAGACTCAACACTGCACCATAGACTCAACACTGCCCATAGACTCAACACTGCACCATAGACTCAACACTGCCCATAGACTCAACACTGCACCATAGACTCAACACTGCCCATAGACTCAACACTACACCATAGACTCAACACTGCACCATAGACTCAACACTACACCATAGACTCAACACTACACGATAGATTTCGATTTAAAGCTGTCGTGACTGCAGGGATTAATCTTCTTGGTTCTTTAGGTAAAATCACGTCGGTTCTAAACTAATTGTATTTTTACGGTGACCTCAGACCGCAGCTCTTTCGCTGGCACCGCCTCTTAACACCTCTCACAGCACGGTTAACGTTGTGGTTTGTAACGTGGAGTATAACAGCGCCTCGTGGCTGTTTCTCTCCCCCCCCTCCTCCGTCCCGAGGAGCGTGGATGGACTCGTCCGTGTGAACGGGGCCCGTCGCTGTCCGTGGTGCTGGAGGTGAGGGGAAGGATCCCACACACTCTGTGGTTCTATTCGGTAAAGTCACCACGTAGGTTAATTAAAATATAAAATAACAAAAATCACGACGTTTCGGCCACAGCACAGGCGGCCTTCATCAGGTGAAGGGACCCTGCTGTCATGATGAAGGCCGCTTGCGTTGTGGCCGAAACGTCGTGAGATTTTTGTTATTTTATTTTTGTTACCTACGTGACTTTACCGAATAGAACCAAAGAGTGTGGATCCTTGCAGTCACGAAAGATTCAAATCTAGTAGAAGAATCCACCCATTGTTTCGCCATATGGCATTGTGATATATAACGACTTATTGTTGGTGGCTCAGCTGGTTGGAGAGTATATAGAGTTTATTGATAACATTGAGGTATAGTAATATGTTTTACCCTTTTAACTGGCACAAAAACTGACACCTTTATTCAAGGCATCATATTCTTAGTTTTTTCGGTAAAGTCACGTTGAAGGGAAAATATAATATATATTTTATTATTTTGTTGTTTCCCTTCAACGTGACTTTACCGAAAAAACTAAGAATATGAATTACTGCAGTCACGAAAGCTTTAAATCAAAATTCAAGGCATCATGTTTGTAATAACCACAACACATGATGCCTTGAATAAAGGTGTCAGTTTTTGTGCCAGTTAAAAGAGTAAAACCTATTACTATATCTTGTTACTGGTAAAGGAGGTCTCATAAAACATTGAGGTAGTTTATATTTTAGTTTTTTATTGGTTTACTATATGGCATTCATTATATAGCGTAGTGTATACCCAGTTGCTCTGTGTTAATAGCTCAGCTTATTGAAGAATATACTGAGTACATTCATTATATTGATGTAATTTATACTTCGATTTTATCACATCGGTTTACTGCACGATAGTTGGGTTAGTTGCAGCCCCTTTAGCGTCCACAGACTCAACAACTGCTGCACCTGCAAATCGTCTGCAAATTTACAGTTCACAGTTCATTTATTTGGTATAGCCCTGTGAGCCATTCGGCTCTTGAATCGGGTGCAACTGCAACAAACAAAAAACATGAACAAGAAAACATCTTAAAGTGATTATGTGACTGTGCAAACAGAAAATACAGGAAAAAAATATCAAAATATTCCTGAAATAGCACCGTACACCAACGCTGCGTGCAAAAATCCCAGTGGGATGCAAGTCAAAATAACAACAACAACCACAAGACAACTAAGATTAAGACCATCAGTCAACTCCGTACTACAATAAACAAAAAACATGGCCAAAACAAAAAAAACTTTTCGAAATCACCAAAATAAAAGCCATAAATCCAATGTAACAGTGATCATAGGGAGTGTGACCGAATTTTTTACAATAAACTACATAAATTTATTATAACACCAAAATCTAGAGCCATATTTTAGGCCACTGAATAGCAGTGGCAGCTAGGGTTGTACAACTCCTCTAGAGCAGTTTTGAGTGAAGATCTCATAGTTAGTGATTCAAGTTGCAGTTTATTGGCAATAGCATTCCAGACCCTAGGGGCATCAATAGCAAAGGCCCTTCCTCCAGTTTTTGTACAGCAATAGGGAATGTGAAGCTGGTAAATGAGCGAAGACCTGAGGTCAAATTTGTTCTTTGAAACAGAGAGGAGATCCAGTAGGTAGTCTGCGGAATTTTTTGTAAGTACATCGTGAATAAATAAGATCTGGTGCACAAGCCGTCGAACATTAAGAGATGTTAAGTTTGACCCAATGTAGAGATCACAGTGGTGAGTCTTATATGGGCAGTTCAGTGCAAATCTTAAGGCCGAGTGATAGATGGAATCAAGCTTCTTCAGTACAGTACTTGGGGCTGATTTATACACGATGTCACAGTAGTCAAGTAGAGACAGTATGGTAGCTTTTATCAATTCCAAACGAAACATTGGGGGGAAGCAGTGCTTGTGTCGATACAGAAAACCAATTTTTATTTGTCTTTTTACCAATATAATCAATGTGATCTTCAAAACTAAGTTTTGAATCCAGGATGACCCCAAGATACTTATAGATCTTGACTTGCTCTATTTGATAATTATTCAAGGAATGTAATTGGGGAAAAATAACTTCCTGCTTTAGTCCCGGAGAGAAGCATAGCACCTTGGTTTTGGAGGTATTCAGGACTAGTTTAAGAGAAACTAGCTGATGTTGTAGTTTGTTGAAATCACCCTGGAGCTTAGCAATCACGTCATCCAGAGAGCGGCCAGCAGTAATCAGTATCGTGTCATCTGCAAAAAGATTTACCCTTGAATGATCCAGTTCAGTGCCCAAGTCATTGACATAAAGAGAGAACAAGAGGGGGCCGAGGATGGAACCCTGTGGAACCCCTTTTGTTATCTTAACACTGTTTGACCTCCAACCATCTGTGAATACAGTTTGGGTGCGAGAAAAGAGGTAATTTTTTAACCATTGTACTGTGTTCTCGGAAAAACCGAGGCAACTTAGTTTACTAAGCAGGGTGTTGTGGTCAACTGTATCAAAAGCTTTGGACAGGTCAAGAAAAAGACAGGTACAGTACTGCTTATTATCAAGGCTATTGTAAATTAGATTCAAAGAGTCTAATGCAGCAGATGTGGTGCTGTATTTTTTTCGGAACCCAGATTGTTTTAGATGTAGTAGATTGTTGGTGGAGAGGAAACTGCTAATTTGGTAGTTCAATAATTTTTCAAAAATTTTCATCAATGGGGACAAAATTGAAATAGGTCGCTAGTTATTGGGATCATCTTTAGGGCCCCCTTTGTGAAGTGGACGGACATAGGAATGTGTCCATTCTAGAGGAACTGATGCTTCTTTGATGGACAGGTTGAAAATATGGGCTATAGCAGGGGTCGGGAACCTATGGCTCGCGAGCCAGATGTGGCTCTTTTGATGATTGCATATGGCTCGCAGATAAAACAAAATATTCTCACTTGTTTTAATCCATCCATCGATTTTTCACTGCGCATGTCCTGTTCAGGGCTGCAGGAGCAATTGTCCATTATTTTAATTGGATGATACTGGCCTACGTTTGCCGTTGCTGGGTAAAACAGGTAAACGCCCCCTTTTGAATCAGTCTGAGACTGCGTCTGCTCGGTCATTAGCTCAAAGCTAATCCTTCGACGAAGAAGATGGCGAAAAGAAAAAAAGACGACGAGTATCGTACATTTCAGGACGAATGGACCGAAGAATTCGCCTTTGTGGAGAGAGCGGGTTCTGCGGTGTGTCTAATTTGCAATGACAAAATTACATCGTTGAAACGGTCGAATGTAAAGCGGCACTTCGACACGCGCCACGCTACCTTTGCATCAAAATACCCTGCGGGAGACAGCAGAAAGAAAGCGTGCCAAGAGCTTCTGAGCAGGGTGCAAGCTAGCCAGCAGCAACTCCGCGTATGGACCCGGCAAGGTGACTATAATTCGGCTAGCTTTGCTGGTTCTTTAGCAATAGTGAGGAACGGAAAACCATTCACAGATGGCGAGTATGCTAAAACGTTCATGCTGGATGTAGCCAATGAACT